TATGGGGGGGTTATGGGGTCCTGGGGGGGTTATGGGGGTGCTATGGGGGATCTGTGGGACACACTAGGGGTCTCTATGCGTCCCTATGGGTCCCTATGGATCCCATGGGTCTCTAAGGGGTCTCTATGGGGTCCCTATGGGTTTCTGTGGGTCCCAATGGATCTTCAGAAGTTTCTATGGGTCCCAATGAGTCTCTATGGCTCCCAAGGGGTCTCTATGGGTTTCTATGGCTCCCAATGGGTCTCTACAGTTTCTATGGGTCCCAATGGGTCTTTATGGGTCCCAATGGGTCTCTATGGGTCTGTATGCGTTCCAATGGATCTCTATGGGTCTCTGTGGGTTTCTATGGGTCCCAATGGGTTTCTATGGGTCCCAATGGGTCTTTATAGGTCCCAATTGATCTCTATGGGTCCCAATGGCTTCCAATGGGTCTCTATGGTTTCTATGGGTCCCAATGGGTCTCTATGGGTCTCTATGGGTTCCAATGGGTCTCTATGGGTCCCAATGGGTCTCTATGGGTCTCTATGGGTTCCAATGGGTCTCTATGAGTCTCTATGGTTTCTATGGGTCCCAATGGGTCTTTATAGGTCCTAATTGATCTCTATGGGTCCCAATGGGTCTCTACGGATCTCTATGGGTCTCTATGGTTTCTGTGGGTCCCGATGTGTGTCCGTGGGTCCCGCTATGGGGCACCTTGTCCTTGAGGCGCTGCAGGACGTGCTGCACGTCCCCGCAGGCCGCGGTGTCGTGGAAGGCCAGCTCCTTCACCGCCGCCATCTTGGCGTCCAGCGCCCGCAGCTGCTCCAGGAACGGCGGCTCCGTCACCGCAGCCTCCACGATGGCACTGCGGGGGGACGGCGGCCCCATAGAGCCCACACAGCCTCATGGACCCCATAGAACCCCACAGAACCCCATAGAGCCCCACGGAACCCCATAGAGCCCACACAGCCTCATGGACCCCATAGAACCCCACGGAACCCCATAGAGCCCACACAGCCTCATGGACCCCATAGAACCCCATGGAACCCCATAGAGCCCACACAGCCTCATGGACCCCATAGAACCCCATGGAACCCCATAGAGCCCACAGAACCCCATACAGCCTCATGGAATCCCATAGAACCCCATGGAACCCCAGACAGTCCAGAAAACCCCATACAGACCCCATAACCCCCCCACCTGATCATGGCGGGCGACACGAGCAGCTCGTCCAGCAGCTGTGCCATAACACCCCATACAGACCCCATAGCACCCATACAGACCCCATAGCACCCCATAGCACCCATACAGACCCCATAACACCCCATAACACCCCATACAGACCCCATATCCCCCCACCCTGCCACCTGATCATG